GATTTTACACACTCGGTAGAACTCCCTGGGCGGGTGATCAGCTCGTCGCAAGGCCTCTACCTGTACACTAACACAGAAAAACGCACACACACAAACTAAAGACCCATGCCCTGAGTGGGATTCGAACCCACGATCCCGGTTTCCAAGCGAGCGAAGACAGGACATGCCTTAGACCGCTCGGCTACCGTAACCGGCTTACTTTATTTTACTTTAAAACAATAAAAAAATTCGTGAAACTGTGTTGACTTCCAAACCGACTCCATGGAACTTCGTCTTCTTGAGAAGCCAAGGGAAGCCCAGGTAACCAAATTCACCGCCTTCTATGGAACCGAAAGAACCTTTTCTAAGATATCCCATCTCTAGTCCCTATTCTGATATTGAAATATACTGATATCACTACCTCGTACAATACTGATTAAGACATATTTTAAAATTATCCGCTCATTTATGAATACTTATTTTTCTTTCATGTTCTTCAGCACACATTTTAATGCGATATTCAGTTAAGCCAGTATTAACGAGGGGTAATGTTAAACATAATTTTAATTTTATTAAACAGTTGTTTCCTCTTTTAACTTGAGAGAGAAAATGTTATTGCTACAAGATTACGGTTTTCTACGATATGACTTCATAGTTTTGGTGGAATGACACTAACGTTTCGGAGGAACTTTCTGCCTTCACATTTCTACTGTGAAGATGGAAGCAGAAAGGCCCTCCGGTATGTAGCTGCCTATACGTAAAGATACTTGGCAGCTATTTCACAAAGATACAGTTATGGAAAATCACAGGCATGAGAACATCAAATCTGGCAAAACATTCATTTCCTCTTTAAAAGGTGACGCGTATATGTACGGATAATGCAATACGAAAACTGTAATGGACGTACCGCAGTTCAAGGGAACTATTCAATTCCTTAATAAGGAAGTAACATTTTGCAGTAGTGACAAATATATCAAGAAAGGTCAGAGAAAATGAAAGCAACGCTATTACTCTCCGAGTTGCTGTTAAATTGGTCTAATGATAGTATGCAGACCCATAGATACTTAACGTAAGACAGTACAGTATACTTCCTTGCATACTTTTTGTTCCCTAATAAAGTCGCTTGTAGTATCCATCAGAGTTGTTGAGACATGATGTCAGTGAGACCGCATGAACTCCGTTTCAAGGACAGCTGCTAATAAATAACTTGGAGAAAACTCGTGGTCTCCATGCTTTCTGTGTCTGTGAATTCCTTCTATCGCCTTTTGAACGCCTTAACCAATTTTTATGATCCTTGGTATATCGTGGCCCTTCTCAATGGCGTACTTCATAAATCCTTCCCATAATTCTTTTTGTGCTTGTATATCTGTGTATCCCTCCCATCGTTCAAAGACAAAGGCTCGGTAAAGTGCTTCCCTTCGTTCGTTGCTAGGCAACGGCTCAGTAAACATTTCCCGCAGCAACGAATGCATGCAACAATAGAAGAATTGTTGGGAGCGTGTGTCCATGGGTCTGTGTATCCCTCTTTTCTTGCTGGGTAACAATTCGGTAAAGACATTCCAGCGGCAACGAAAAATTGTTGGAGGCATTGTTTTCTATATGGTCCGTGTCATATAAAAGGAAAGTGTTCAAGTAGGCTGTTTAACGGTTTTGCTAATATCGAGACGCTATAGCATCTGTTGTAAGTTACTGGGCTGCAGGAAACTTATAAATGCAGGCTTCAGGCCTAGTGCCGTCCAGTCTTGGTAATTCTTCCCAGTGAATGGAACAAGACACAGTACAAAACAGTTCCTAAAAACTGCTCTTCTTGCGTGCATTATTGAACAGATAGTCAAGAAAATTTTACTTTTCATACAACACAAAAGTTCCTTGCCGTTTTCGTAAAGGCCCGCCGCTGTGTGGTGTATGATAGATGAATTTATCCTATATTTTCACACTCTTTCCTTAAAAAATATTATTTTTCCATCCCTTTCCAAGCATCCATATTCCTTCATATTCCCAGGTATGCGGGGTTGGTGTGACTAATAATATTATGTATCTGCTGCATGCTTCGATCCGGCCAACAAGCCGTGTTTATAATGGCAATGATTAACTAGAAGTGTATAGTGTTAGTATTCTAATTTCGCGTTACAAGAATACTGTAGAACAGTTTTCTTTAGATATGTTTAAATGGGTAATAAATATTAAGTTGGATGCTTGAAACACACGAACTCGAAAAACTGTGAATCACATTATGTGATTATTATTCATTTTTCTGAGTTAAAGAAAATATGACAATTTCAGATTCAACAATTATATAGTAACGAAGTTTATAATACGATCTGATTAATTCTCTCCTTCCAGCCTGTTTTGGTGGTGTTACTGTGGCTTAAGAATTAATAATGTCGGTAATACGTAATATTATTATAGCGGTAAACGTGCAAGAATCGCTCTATGTTCCTTCACCTGTGCTCCACTCTTCGCAATGCTCGCGTCATGTATTCGATCATAACCACGTGACCTACTCGACATTTCACAAGAACTTTGCGGAGACATTTAAAATAAAATAATGTAATTACAAAATTTATCCGATTTTCAAAATACGCTTCGGGTATATCAGACTTCCATCTATTTTATAACCTACCTTGGCTATGTCCATGCTTATGAGTCTGGAATAACTTGAGTATAGAACATCGACACACAAACTGATGGCAGAAATATGGCCGCATTCATATTTATATACGTTCTATATCCTGGGTTTGTGTCTTTTATCACAACGTCTTTTGATACCCCCACCTTTTGACAAAATCTCTTCATATGGCGCTGTAGAAGTAACCTGTAACAGCCTTTAAGTGGAGAGTAACATTAGCGAAGGGAGACAGATAGAGGTGTGTGTTGGAGCTGCCCTAGATTCCATCGCTTCGGTACGTACTGCGATACACATATAAAAGATGGCGGCTAGTGAGACTGAAACAGCCTCTGGTCCATTACTAGGCGAAAGAGAAAGACGGTGATGCAGGTAGGGAAAGGAAGGGGAAATGGGGAGAGAGGGGTGGAAAAGGATTGCTAAGATTATTAAAGTAAAAAGTAAAGTAAAGCTATCCCTGTAACAGGGATTATTATTATTATTCCTAATAATTTTATGAAGGATATTAAGTCAAAATTACAAAGGATTAAGAGAACATTATGCAGTTACTTGAATTTTTTTTTCCTTTTGGCGCTACAGCCCCAATTTCGGCCTTGGCCTACCTCCGTGAAACTCTCTGTTTCACTTCGGTTTACTAGATCTTAGACATTTGGTAGGACTCCTTGGGCGACTGATCAGCTCGTCGCAAGGCTACCGGTACACAAACACACAAGAACGCGCGCGCGCACACACACACATAAACACTAAGCATCAATGCCCTGAGTGAGATTCGAACCCACGATCCCGGCTTCCGAGCGAGCGAAGACAGTACATGCCTTAGACCGTTCGGCTACCGTGACCGGTAATGTGTAAGATTAATATATAAGAATTCAGTACGTACCTCACAGGAAACAGATCCGAACCCACGATCCCGGCTTCCGAGCGAGCGAATAAAGTACATGCCTTAGACCGCTCAGCTACTGTGACCGGCATTTAATGTAGAGAAGTGAACAATTTTACAAAGAGCAGGGGAGATGAGAAATACAGATAAATACAACTGCAGTCGGAATATCTGAACTGTAGAACCATTTGCGAGACCTGGACATAGATGAGATTTAGATTGGATTCATCTGGCTGATGATGGTATCAGTGGCAGGATTTTTCTAACACAGCAGTTATTCTCAGGGTTCAAAGACGGGGGAATTTTTTAACCCCCTTGTCGGCTGCTGACGTTTGTACAAAGGCTCTTATCCCCGTAGTTAGTTAGCAAAAAATAAATTGCTGTCAGAGGCACAATGGGGGGGGGGGATCCGAAGGTAGGAGTATATTAGCAAAAGCAGTTCCTTCCATTTGAAGCGATTTCGTGTAAATTAATTTAATATAACTTAACTAATGAAGTGGATGTGTGAAATTCAAGCATTTATACAATTCATAGACATTGTACAGAATGCCTTACAGTTTCAGACAGATGTAAAATTTACGGTTTCTGTTTATTCTTGATATATTTAGCCTAGGTACTGTTTAGGATGTCTTGGCTGATTTCGGGAAAGTGACACCGAGACAGAAAGGAACACTAATTGAACACAGATTAATTCGTTAACAGCGGTAATGGTGATACGGTATGATTTCTATGAGACAGAACCCAATTTTTAAGTAATATTTTAATTAATTTAATTCTTCAAAAAGTTAATTATATAGCGCTTATGAAATTAGAAATCTGTACTTTGAAGTACAGCTCTAATTTGAGCGTGACAGTAAGGAACGTTGTACATGTCTGGAGACTAATTATAAAACATTTTTGTTAAGATTATTCTGTGTAATAACAGACCCACACAAATTTAAACACCCTATACATGTTTTACTACTTCGAAACACTGAGTGGATGTAATATACAGTATCCGTGCTTTGATCTATGCTCTTATTTATCTGAGATTTGTGAGCAGTGCGTTTATGTCATAGCGCAGTAAAATAAAAATAATGTATCTTTGCGTGTAATTAATCTTACTGCTACATAATCACATAAGTGTAATGGGCGTTAGAAGCAGTAAAGACCAGTAGAACAGCAGCTATAAATACGAAAAAGGGACAGTAAGAACCGAGATACACATCTGACACTTCTACATCCTGTTCCTAGTATATTGTCATGAGTTTAGTGCTGATATTCACTACACGGCCAAAGCCACTGACTTAAAACAATATAAAGCTTAGTTATAACTTTCAATTAACTGTAGGTAGCCTTAAACATTATAGAGGAACTTGTTTACATTATTTATATTGCCCAAATCAAAAATAAGTAATTCCAGAATCAGAGTAATTCAAAGGTAAAGGCTTGTCTCTGCTGTTGTTCCCCCAAAGGGTCAATGCCCCTACTCACCCCTTTCTAGCAGCTGTGGATACCTCCTACTCAGTCCAATGGGGCGAATGATTTCCGAAAGGACGGGAATAAGAAGGAAAACTCAACATATCAAAACTGATGAAGTATAATTAAGCCAGACGCATAACCAGTGACTCAAACACGGGCAAGTTTACTCACTCGCACTGAAGAGTATGACAACGCAAAATGGCGTCATCCCGGCTCCTTCCAACACAGATTCTAGTGGCAAAACCTCCTTCCAAAATGCTCTCTCAGATACTCCCGCCGTATATAATGCCTCCTATTTTTTTAATGAAAACTACAACAGATACAGAAAGCACAATAACGAAGTTAAATAGAGGAAGATTTCAGCTATTTTTCCACATAATCACCACTATTCGTTATGCACTTTTGCCAGCGACGAACAAGAGCCTGTATGCCGCGCCCGTAAAAGTCTTCGCCAGGAGAGGCTAGCCACTTTCTTACAGCCGCAATGACAGCATCGTTGTCTGGAAAATGTTGCCCACGTAGTCCATCTTTCATAGGCCCAAAGAGATGGAAGTCTGAAGGTGCTAAATCGGGGCTATAAGGTGGATGTGGTAGGACAGTCCAGCCAAACTTTGCTATGCGCGCGGTGGTCGCCAAACTGGTATGGGGTCTAGCGTTATCGTGTTGCAAGCGAAAGGCTGTCTGCTTCTCTGGCCTGACTCGGGAAATGCGGGCTTTCAGCTTAGTCAGCGTCGTCTTGTAGCGTTCTGAATTGACAGACTCACCAGGATCCAGGAAATCCAATAAAATCACACCCCGCCTATCCCAAAAGACCTTGCACATCACTTTCCCTACCGATGCCTGTGTCTTGAACTACTTTTTTCTTGAGGAATCCGGATGTCGCCACTCCATGGACTGTCTTTTGGATTCCGGCTCGTAGTGGTGACACCACGTCTCATCTCTAGTTACAATGCTGTCCAGAAACTTGTCACCTTCAGCCTCAAGCTGCTGCAACAGGTCCTGACAGACTTCAATTCGATGAGTTCTGTGGTCCTGTGTAAGCATCCGCGGGACCCACCTGGAACAAACTTTGCGATAATCCAGCTTCCCCAACGTTTCCAATGCATTACAGTGGATATTAAGCCGTGCACACAGTTCCCTGGTCATTATCCGCCGATCTGTATGGATGAGCTGATCGAGGCTCTGTTAATTGTGAGGAGTGGCAGGGGAGCAGGGCACAACTCTACCCTCCGTAAGACAAGTTCTTAGTTAAAGATCTACAATGAAGAAGATTATCTGCGCTTCAAATTAAGCTTCTAGATACAACTGTGGCTTCCATGCCCCAGAGTAGATCCTTAATAGGTACGTCTAAGACGCAATACCGGCTCAAAAATTATATTGTTACCCAGAATTTTGACCTAACGGACGAAAATTAAAGTGTTTGCTGGTTGGTTGGCTGATTCCTTTTGAAAATCATTTCCATGTAGATTTGTTTTCAAAATATGTTATCTATCTTTTAAGAATGTCATTAAATAAAGAAACTAACATTGTTGAAATTGGATAATTCCCGTTATTGTTACTGTGGGACGCCAGTGATACTTTGACACTAATATTTTCTTTACTTCTTATTTGTGCTGTTACTTTAACGATCTTACGACTTAATCGGAAATTATTAATTTAATTCTGATCAAGTAAGGTAACGGTAAAATTCTCCCTGTATTTAACTAATTAAGCACTACGCCTTTAAGGCGAATGTGGAAGAGGCTATATATATATACACAATTTCTTGACCTCGGCACTAGTTGAAGGTGAGCGGTCAGCTTCACGCCCCGGCCGCTTTACTCCAGGGGAAGATTTCAGATACTCATTGGATAAGAGACTGGGTGGGCCCCAGAGCTGGCCTGGACGACATGCTGAAGAGAAAATTCTTGACCCTACAGGGATTCGAACTCCGATTCCTCAGTTGTCCAGCCCGTAGCCAGTCGCTACGCAGCCTACGCTGTTCTGATCTATCAGTACCTTATCACATCCTCGGTCTTTAAGACTTGAGCTTCGTCTCTGGACAGGCTTTTTGCTGGTTACAGAGTAAATGAACTTACTTCTTTAAGTTTTTTTCTCCTTGGCATTACAGCCCCAATTTGGGCCTAGGCCTACCTCCATGAAACTCTCCGTTTCACTAGATTTTACACATACGGTAGGACTCCTTGGGCGGGTGATCAGCTCGTCGCAAGGGCTCTACCTGCATACAAACACAGAAAAACGCACACAAACATCCATGCCCTGAGTGGGATTCGAACCCACGATCCCGGCTTCCGAGCGAGCGAAGACAGTGCATGCCTTAGACCGCTCGGCTACCGTGACCGGCGACCTGTGCAATTGCTGACAATTATTTCAGCTAGTATGGATACGATGTTTATATATTTTAGAATAATACTTCTGAATATTTAAATGCTATATCTCTTACGGGTCGCAATATACGTGTATCTCGGAGAATATGTACTGTTGCAGAATATTTAGATGCAGTTCGTCACACTGAAGTGCACTGGTCGTTAAGAAACGAGGTTCAAACTATATTGATTGAGAAAAAAGCAGAAAACCTATTCTACTTTTGCTATTAAATTAGTTAGTTATTTAGAGAGGGTGGGTTTCCCCATTCACCGCGACCAGTTTGATCTATTGTGCTTCCCTCTATGATATTCTACCAGTCTCTATACCCTACCGATAAATGGTGCG